AGCCCCCCGGGGCGGGGCGCGGGGCACTTGCCTTGAGGGCGTCCAGCCCCATGAGGCGGCTCTTGCGGTCCTGATCCTTGAGGATGAGGAAGGGCCGCCCGTACTCGTCAAAAGCGAGGGTCCCCATGGCCGACATGGTGGCACTGCCGCCGCCCGACACCAGGCAGAGACCAAGCACACGCCGCTCCCAGCCCCGCCCCCTGCGAGTAATGTCACTCCGCGCCTGCGCAACCGCTTCCACCAGTCCGGGTTTGCCGCTCGCGACTAATGTGGCGCCCCCGCCGAACCCTTCTGGAAGCGTCGGAATGGGGGGGCGTGGCCGCTGCCCAGGCCCCGCCCTTCCTGGGGGAGATACCACTAACGGAATCGCCCGTCGCAGCCACCCCCCGGGTTCTGCAGCCTAAGGGGAGGGAGGCGGGGCCTGAGCCTTGTGTGAGCAGGGCGGGGACAGAGGTGCGGGCACTGCGTTCCCCATAAAATCTACCCGAATCATTTCCTCCCCCCCGCGCCGGATGGTATCGCCCGTCCCGCAATGCCCGGATGTAGCGGGGCCTGCAGTATCGCGAGACCTACGTGGGAGGTGAGTGGGGGGCAAGGGAGGGCTTTATAGGTGGCAACTTGAGCCATGGGTAGACTCGGGGAGATCCATGTTTGGAGCGAGCGCGTGGACTCAGCTGAAGCGGGCTGTAGCCGAATAGGGGAGTGGCTCCCTTATCTTGGGAGCAGGAAGACGCGCGGCTGTGCACCGCGCATGCACAATAGAGACGCTCAAGTTGAGTGGCCCTCCAGCCGGGCCGCTTTTTTCAAGCATGCGCAAGCACGGCATTTCAGCTAAGCGGCTCCGTGTTGTTCCGCCTCAAGGTCCCGCTCCAGGGCGGGCGGTGGCTCCTTATTGGCTCGCAGACGTTCTGGCTCCGCCCCCTGCCCTGTTCCTTGCGGTGCCCGCTATGTGGGTGCCGGGCTGCCATGAGCTCTGCCAGGAGTTGCCTCAAGTGCCCTGATGTGTCCTTCCTGGTCCTTCCCTTTTTCCCTGCTTTCAGCGCCCCCATTGCTCTCCTGAGGCCGGGGAGGTCTGCAGGCTCCCGCCCCGAGCTTGTGGCTGCCATGACAAAACTAGCAACTTGAGGATGAGGCTCAGTTCCCCCTTCCGAAATAAGTCACAGGGAATCAGTCACAGAGCAATCTCTGGGCCCTGCTGCCAGGCACAGACTGCTGTCTGCCCCTGGGTGACAAGCATGTAGGTGGCCTGCTTACAAAACTAGTTACAGCAAAGCCTGCTGGCACTGAGCCCCTCTGCCAAAGTGGTCCCAACTAGAAGCAGGCTAGAAATCAGCTTGCTGCGCCTCTTCCATCACACACGTTCCAAAATGATCTCTGTCTTGCTAGATGCTCGGTTATACCTGTATCTTCCTGCATACAATACATCCCTGAATATAGCACCTTGTTTTTTGAAAGGCAAAATAGAAAAAAAAAAAAGCTTTTTCCAGGGTTAGGGTTGCTGAGAAGAGGGATAGAGCTGACTCTTTAGCCATATCACCCTCCCTTTCTGGTTTAACTAAAGCCCAAGCTGTTGCTGAAGACTGATTGCCATGGGCTTCTTTCCAGGTGCTCCAGGGTGGAGAAGGGGGACACTTTAATTAGAGCAGCTCTAGAGCCGCTGTATTTAAAGAACCCACAGCATCACTTGTATTCAGTGTCCTGCACTTCAAAATGGTGGCAGGGGTGCTTTAACTTAAAGCTCGTTTGATGAGCTTTAGTTAAAGTGCCCCCACCACCATTTTGAAGCACAGGACACTGAATACACATGACAGAGAGGCTGTTATAGTGTGTTAATTAGCACGTGCCAGCAGACTTTATTAATCCAGCAAACATCCAGCAAGTTTATAGGTAGCTTTCTGGTTTTGAAAACAGCTGAAGAAGCTGTGAAATAAGAGACCAAGACAAATCAGCACACAGCAAAATTGCCCAAAGAAAGGTTAGTTTGATTAGGAGAACATCAAGATCATTAAAAAGGAGAGAAGATTGTTAACATCTCTGGAGTGAAGAACAATGAGCCATTAAGTCAGTTGACTCCTTCAGTAGCCCAAATACAGATTTCCCTCGCTTTATGCTGTACGTGCGTTCCTGGAAAGCAATGCATAACTCGAATTCGCATAAAGGGAACCCACTTTACAATGTAACAAATAGGGATATGTTCCAAGATCTCAACTGTACTAACCCCCAGACCTATTTCTGTCACTTTCACAAGACAATTTTGGTACTCACCAGCAGCAGACAGTACACACAAGCACTGGGCACTATCATAATGGGGATGGGAACTACAGAACCACGTGTTGCAGATAATGAGCAAGGAGAACAGAGCCACACAGGAGCCTATATTTTGGTGCTCATCACTCCCACAGTGCAATGGACAAAGCAGTTGACTGCGGGTTTCCACCACACAGATCGCATAAGAGTAAATTTACCTTGCGTATAACGAATTATTGGTATAAAAAGGGTCATTGCGTAAAAGCAAATTTGCACATACAGATCCCGCGTAAAGCGAGGGAAACGTGTACTAATACTCGAGTTGTTACACCGTGGAGCAGAATCACAGTAGGGTGCTTCTGTCTCCAGCCAGAAACTTAGCTTTTTTGCTTAAAACATGGGGGGTCTGATTTTTTGGGTAAAAGGTGTATGTTGTTTTTGAGAAAGTATGGTAATTTCAGTAAATTAGTGTTTATAGTACCAACTGGCCCTTTTAATATGTGAAAGCAAAGTGCAAGAGATCAAAAATCAAATGTCTATGTATTTTTGGTTGTTGAAATAACATAGGTACTTTATTGTTGCAGACCTAACATTTGTTAAACTACCTTTTACCACAAAATGCATACAGCATACTGATGACATAAATTTGTATGCTGTCAAGTAAAATTGTAGTGGCATTTAAAATATTTTGGGTAAAGAAAGGTACAAATTTATAGCAATTGATAGAGGATCGTTCATGATGCATTGTTGTTATGAAATCTTCATGATCAACCCAAGAGTGTCTTATTTCTCATCTGCTTATAACCACGTCCGTAAAACTTAACTGTGGAACAAAAAGGTGAGTATGTATTCAAGAGAGTACTTTTTTTTTTTAATTGTGTGTTTGTTATTGTAAGTCTCTCTTACATGATTACAAAATACCATTTCAGTATGAATGATGATTTGGGGCAGGGATGGCTAACCTGCAACCTGGGTGCTGTAAGTGGCACAGGTAACTTCCGTGTGTGTCCTGTGGCATATTGAGGAGGAAACAGGCAACACAGTGACAGGTAGGCTAGGGAGCAGCATGCAGAGCATTAGATTAGGCATGGAGCATAGGGAAGAGCAGAAAGCTGAGCAGCACATTGGGTAAGGGAGAGGGATCGGAGTGGCATTAGGGGTGCATGCAGGGCTAATTTGTGCCATGTCTGCCAAAATGTTTAGCCCCCATTGATTTGAGGAGTCTATTGCTACAGCTTTCGGTGGTTATGAGGTTACAAACTCCTTGGGTTTGTGTTTGATACAGGATCCCTGCAGGCACACAGCAGCCACCACAGGGAAGCCACTACAGCATGTCTCCGCTTGTGCAGTTTCTGGCAGGGAATGCCATGCACGCTGGGAGGCATCAGCTGGTAAAGGTGCCTCAGCAGTTGGCAGAAAGTGCAGGCACATCTGTGTATGCTTTCGGGCAAAAACCTTTTGTAATTTACAGAAGTGGTGCTGCTCTGCCAGCAGAAATAAGGGACCTTGCTGCTGCAGGGGTACTGAATGGGGCAATGCTAATGGCTTGGATGACAACACTATGTAAAGTTGGCTAGGCTGTATATATATATATCTTTGCCAAGCTGCTGGCTCCACTTTGGATTTGTGGGCTTGTTGTTACTAACTTTTTTTCTTTTCTATTCTTTACTGTTTTCAGTGTTGGCCTGACACTCTAGAGGTTGGTAGCACAGACTGAGTAGTAAGTAGGCCTTAAATGGAGGTGGCCTGGTATTCACATGCAAATGCTGGGTAAGAAGCTGGGTTTCATTGAGCAGAGCTGTCGTTCTTCCCAGCCTCCACCAGGGAAAACCTTACCTAAGCAAAAAAGTTACCCAACAGGCTTGTCAACACCCTCCCCCCACCACATTTGCCCCACAATGAGGACTAATCAGATTGTCACCTGACAGAAAGACTGGAAGTATAAAAAGGCAGGAGCTAAGATTAAGCCATGTTCATCAGCTCATAGTGTGGGGGTACTGCTGTCTTCAGGAGGGCTGGTAAGAAATATTCCTTAGTTTCTGCAGTTCTTGAGACACAGGAGAGCGCTCATGGGTTGTCTGCTCCACACTCCCCAGAGAACTGAGCAGCCCTATAGCTAGGAATCACCACACTGTGATTTTGAAGCAGTCTGGCTCCAAGGATGGAGATTCCACAATGTCTCTGAGTAACCTGTTCCAGTGTTTTACTACCTTCCTTGTGAGAGAGTTTCCCCTAATACCTAACCTACACCTCCCTTCCTGCAACTTGAGACGGTTGCTCCTTGTTCTGTCATCTGCCACCACTGAGAACAGTGTAGCTCCATCCTCTTTGGAGCCCCCCTTCTGGTAGTTGAAGGCTTCTATTAAATCTCCTCTCAGTCTTCTCTTCTCCAGACTAAATAAGCTCAGTTTGCTTAGCATATGCCTCACCATTTTCATTGCCTTTTGCTGGACAGCGTTTAGAACAGGGGTATCCAGCCTTTTTGAATGTGGGGCAGGATCATGAACTTTTTGTCACCCAGTGGGCTGGCGAGCCATATTCAAAGACCTCATGGGAAGTGGTATCACATCAGGAAGTGATGCCAAGTGACCTTTGAAACCAATGAAGTTGCAGGAAGTGACAATGAAATGGGACTGGAAATGTGGTGTAAAATCCAAAATAAAAACAATATAAAAGCAACAATGAAATAATACCAAACACTTAACTAAAATAAACACTTTTGCATAATGAAAGAAGCATAATGCAAGTCGACAGATCAAATGTGGAAAAGATATCAGCCAGAGTGGAAACTAATCAAAGGTGGAGGGATGTGGCTTGGCAGGAGACACCTGTGCAGTGCTTTGCAGCCTCCGCCACTCAGTGCCTTGCAGGAGGTGGGAGGAAGGAGGGAGCGGGGGCTCCTCAGTGCATCTGAGAGGCTGCGACAGAGACTCGCGGCTCAACTGAGCAATGGCAGCAGCTATCCCTGCTCTGCTCCATGCCTGGCTGCAGCTGCAGACACGCACAGGAGCCCCAGTCTGGGCTCATCCTCCCAGCCGCAGCCTCCCCAGGATGTGCTGGAAAGGCGCTCTCCGCTCCGCTGCCATCCACCTCACTGCCCTGGCAGCTGCGTGTGCCCGTGCCTCCCCCTACTTCCACCTTGGCCCCACGTGGCTCCGCCACTGAGCCACCGCCATTTTCTCATTGCTGATGTGCATTTCACCACTTATACAACTGCAAGCGTTATAGCGCTGGGCGCTTCTTTTTGTGTAAAAATGTCTGATGTTTGGATTCTTACTGGTCTATCTGTAGCATGCAAGGGCTAACCCTCGATTAACCTCAGCACTACATCCCAGCTAATAAACATTGCTCCTTAACTTGTTAGCTGGCCCTATGCAGCCACAGCAATGTGACTCTGATCTTCGTGATCAGAGGTCAGGAAAACAGACCTTACGACAACAGGCTGAGAGCTATGGGGCTCTTCAGCCTGGAAAAGCACAGGCTCGGGGTGATCTGATGGCCACCTATAAGTTTATCAGGGGAGTTCACCAGGATCTGGGGGAGGCTTGTTCACCAGAGCGCCCCAAGGGATGACAAGGTTGAACGGTTATAAACTCCTGCAAGACTGTTTCAGGCTGGACATAAGGAAGAATTTCTTTACTGTCCGAGCCCCCAAGATCTGGAACAGCCTGCCATCCAAAGTGGTTCAAGCACCTACTTTGAATGCCTTCAAGAGAAATTTTTTATATTTATCTTGCTGGGATCCTATGACCTCAGCTGACTTCCTGCCTCTTGGGCAGGGGGTTGGACTCGATGACCTTCCAAGGTCCCTTTCAGCCCTAATGTCTATGAAATCTATGACTGCACTGCTGGCTCTGGGACTTGAGAACAAACACAGCTAGTTTGGGGTATCTGCATGGTATTGCATTGCACTGCAGCGACATATAACATAGCACTCCCGAGAACTACAAACCAAATGAGATAAAGAGAATCCTTGTGTACTGTTTTAATCTAACTACTATGACTATTTAAACCACAATGTTATCATCCAGCTGTGCACTGCACTTTAATCACTTAATATAACATGTCTGCCCTAAAAGGAGAAAAAAAAGTTCCTCTTTTATAACAGAAAATAATTGGACTTTGATGAGAGAGAGGCTACTGATATTAGTTTCAGTAGAAAGTTTGTAATCATTAGGAACAAGAACAGTCTTTCTTTCTTCCTTTGAGGGTAGGTGTTTCATTTCTTGCTATGTGGGATTTATGTACTTAACTTCTATTTGTGTTAATGGGAGTTAAACATGTAAATTCCCTGAAACACAGATGAAAATAGATTCCTTACTGCTTAATATTTGAATGTAGTAGGTGAAGCAGAAAAGACAATTATAGAATATAGTGGGAAGAATAGATGTTAAAATTAAATTAGGACCTTATAATTTTCTCCAAGACAGTTTCATCTTTTGTTAATGTGATTTGGGAATTTATCTCCGGTTCAGAGGAAATGGAAGCTTTACATGAACTCATGTTTTTTCAAATATCTTGGTATCATCAGCAAGCACTTGCCTATTAAAATGGCGACATATTTCTGGTTTCAGATAACTTGTTACATATGCTTTTCCTTTTTTTCAGTTTCTCTTTGTAAATGTTGAAGCAAGATAGCCATCCACAAGACATCTTAGAATATGAAGTTTGATAATGACAATTCAAGAAAAAAGAACTGGGGATTGCTGGTTACTGGTATTGTTGGTGGGACACTGGCAGCACTCTATGCTGTTGTCACTCCCTTCATAACTCCAGCACTGAGAAAAATTTGCCTGCCTTTTGTTCCTGCAACTTCAACTCAGATTGAAAATGTTCTGAAAATGTTACAATGCAGAAATGGATCTCTGGTCGATATTGGTAGTGGAGATGGACGAATTGTGAGTGCTCTAAATATCCTAAATTTTGTGTATGATATTATGTTGCAGCCTTGTCCCCCTCAACCCTAGAAATTTTCAAAAAAGCCCCAGATCCCCAAGAAGAAACTCTAGTGAGTCTTGTGTAGAATTTAAGTGCCAAAATATGATTCACAAAACCCCTCCCTAACTGCTTAGGCTCCCCAAAGTCCATAGGTGCCAAAGTTTTCTTCAAAGTTCCTAAATTGCCTTAAGTTATGCCATTGCATGTGCCCAGAACTATGTTCATTTTGGCAGGGTTGACCGTTTTGTGTCTATTTCATGCCTGTGTTGAACTGGGATTCACAAATTAGACAGTTTATAAGTTGCCTGTGGGGTCTGATCCAGTAGGTCTACTGGGAACATGGTGAACATACATAGCATTGCATTCAGGGCAAAACACAGAAGCTGTGATCATTCTGAATGAAAATGGTAGTAGTGCTTGCCTTTAACAGCCATGAGGTTAGGGTGCTCTTCCAGGAAATGGGAAACCTGGATTCAGTGTTTTGCTTGACCTGAAGTGGTTCAAACCCACAAACCCATTGGCTTGTTTTGTGCCCCCAAATCAGCATGCTGCCTGTTGTGAATCCTATTCTTAGGCACCTAAGTCTCTCCACATGCTGTATGGGGAATCTGAGTACCTAACTCAGGGTTGTGAATCATGTTCCAGGTGCCAGGCACTTCAAAGGAAGGCATGATGATGTTGTGTGTTACCATACTTTATTCCCTTCGTGGATCCAGCCCAGAATTGGTGAAGCTGTTCTTAAGTGTGCAGGTCACAAACTTCAGGCTGTTATTCATTTACCTAGGAGTACCATTGGGCAGATTGTGAGAATAAGATTCTTCAAATGCTATTGTGGAAATGTGACAAAATTATTAGATTATGTGACTTGAATGCTATTTGACCAGTTTTATTCAGAAACAAAAATGTCTGCTCCTTTTCCTACTTTATATTTCTATAATTTTGTCATACAGAATTCTTAATCAAAATTTTCATGAGGCAGACACTAAAATACTTGTCAAACCTGTATTTCATACTTCTTGCAAGTTGTATGTGATGTTATATAATCTCATTAATCTTATATTGTTTTATGTCTGATCTCTGAATAATCAGAGCATGAGTGCATGGCTTTATTTATGTGTGGAACCTACAATGTTTTTTTTCATGTAACGCTGCAGGAGCTAGAAATTATTTATACTAAATACCAAAACATGCTTTCCTTACTCATTTTAATTAGGATTTATTGAGATTACTTATTATTATGATGAGCAGAATATAACCTGCAACCAGTAGCTTATTTGTGAAGCAGGTAAACAGTTTTACATATTTTAAAATTTAGAATCTAGACTACTTTGCTTAACAAAAGCAAGCTGACAATCATAATTTTTAAATCGTACATCCATTATTAAAATTGAAACAGTGGTATGCTATTCATGACAAAGATCCTGTGTAATTACCTGTAACAGAAAAGGACTGTAGTAAAAACTATTTACTTTGGCACTTTCTGCGTTAAGTGCATTGTCCCAGATTCTCAGAAGTAATTTATGTGCCTAACTCCCAACGATTGAAATCAATGGGAGTTAGACACCTGAATTACCTTTGAGGTTCCAGGTCCCCCTGTGGCAGCTGAAAAGTATGTCTGTGTGATAAAAGTGCTTGCTGAAGGCTCTATGAAGATTAGACCAAGTGTTTTTCTGTATTTGTTTAGATATTAAGCTATAAGTTGTTGCTAAAAGCCTAATTATATTTTAAGATGTAGTGAGGCCTTGTGTAAAGTAAGGCCTAGTAAATTTAGCAAAGCCTAGAAATAGTAAGGCCCTGTGGCACAGTTAAAATTACCTTATCAAAGAAATGCAAGGCTTGTACTGCTATTGGTCAGTCTATGAACAGTTGAAGAAAAAGGAATCTAAGTGGTCGTACACTATCAGTGTCCTTCAGAAGCTATACATTAGCTAAAATATTTGGAAACCATTCAGAAGGAAGATGCAGCTCTGTGAAAAGGATTAGTTAGCTGTTGCCTGGATCAGTGGGCCCGTGGACCTCACGGAACCCAAGAACTTCATTCTAGGGTCCTCCCCAGCACCCCTCAGACAGCGTTGCTCGGGGACGCCTGACCTCGCTGAACTTTGCGGAAAGAGAAGCTTACTGTGTATCAGGCATCAGAGGGACTGCTGATAAGTTACCGACATGAATTGCTTTTATCTGTCATCGTCTGTCTTGTTATTACGTGTAGTTGTGCTTTTTTACGTCAATAAATCTTTCTTACCTTTCTAGCCTCGACCACACTCTCAATCTAAATCCTCCGCAGGCGGCTGGGACACCCCCTATGTTTGTAGATGAGCACAGGCACATATACTCCGCTTTACTGCTTTTTGTCCACACCAGTTTATAGGCAAGGCACCAATGCTAGTTGCATTCTTAAATACGTGCAAATGTCATGGCAATGTTCTGGATTTGCACACCAATCTTGCAAGTGTACTTGTGTACTTAATTTATAAAGAGGAACATTTTAATTTATTTCAGTGGAAATAGTCAAGGCAGTAAAATTAAGCTTGCATGTAAAAACATCTAAATGAAAGCTCCAATCCTGAAAATAGACAAAAATAAAGGACTCCTTGATTTCTGCTCTGAATAAAATTACATTTTCTCTTACGTGCTTACTTTAAGTAAGCACAATTTTGGTTTAAACGGTGGCATGCTATAGCTTGTTGTGGTCCTTAATAAAGATTCTTTTTTGTTTCTTTGTAGGTGATAGCAGCTGCAAAAGAAGGATTCAGAGCTGTTGGTTATGAATTAAATCCCTGGCTGGTCTGGTACTCCAGATACTGTGCTTGGAGGGAAGGTGTGCATCATGATGCCAAATTTTACATTTCAGATTTATGGAAGGTATGTATTGGTTTAAAAAATTACCTATAGAAACCAAAGTACAAAATAAACTGACTGGTGAATTTAAAAAAAAGAATTTTTAAATTTAAATTTTTACATTTTAAATAAAAATATACAGCTGTTTGTGATAGTCTGTTAACATTATTTTAGCTTGCGTTTTCTAATGTGGTTAATTTAAGCACCCAAAGTTGGGAAATATGAAAGATAAGGTTGCTAAATTATGCATGCATGCATTATGTGGCAAACTTAGAAAGTCACATTATTTTTCAATCAGCTGTAAATCATAAGTTTTTTTACAACTTCTAAATACCATAGAATATGGAGTTGTGTATGTATAGTTGTGCTTGTGTGTGTGATTGTATGTATGTGTGCATACATATAGCTACGTTGTATTATTTGAAAACAGTATACGATCATTTAATTACTGCATTTACTCAAATAGAAGATGACCCTGGTTATTAGATGGCCTCCCAATAATTATATTCTATATATGGACATTTTATAAATTTGTTACAATTTTCCAAGTGTAGAATCGAATGATCAGAGGTTTGCCTTGAATTTTTCCCCCTCCCACATTTAGAGCAGGGAAAATAAATCTATGTAGTCCAGTAGCCCTTTAACTATCTGTATCCTCCCATCTTTTTCCCCTGGCAGTCCCTTCCACCTCTCATTACTGTCAGATGCTTCTGTTCCTGAGCAGACAGAAGTGAGGAGCAAATTTGAAAACAGTAACCTTGAAATTAAACATGGCTGAATGAGTTAAATCAGGCCCATGCAAATCCAACATGTCAGATCCATCATACAGGGCTGATCCAGTTCAGACATGTATGCCGCATGCGTGCCCTGGACTGCCCTGTGTGCTATTTGCAGCACGCATGCCAACTCCAGACCTGGGCACTGCATGTAGCACACACCGCCCTTTGCCTCAGCCCACCGTGTGGCACATGACACATGGGGCTAGTGTGAGTTGTTTGCTACAGGTGGCACGTAGAGCCAGTCTGGGGCACAGTCTACAAAGCTACCTAGTGTGGAGGGAAATCTTTAAGTGGCCTAAAGCTGCTGTAACGATTTCTACATGGTTTCTTGTCCTAGTCTTTGGGGCAAGGGGATGAATAGGTGGGCTAATAATTTTGATATCATCTTAGATTATACATACTCTGCATAATAAACATATTTGTAATTTTTTTATAGGTTAGATTTTCCCAGTATACAAATGTTGTTATATTTGGGGTACCTCAGATGGTAAGTCTCTCCCTGTTTTTTTAACTTATCTTTAGCTGTCTATAGTAGTCTTACACTAAACCAGTTGAAATTGCTACATTGATTTAGAAAATGAGCCCACTTAGTGTAGTAGATTTGACATTCAGTTACTTATTTTAACAGCATAATGGATTTTGGATTATTAGTATTTAATAATTATTAAGATATATTGCATCCTGCTGCTACAACTTGAAGCTTGTGAACAAAATATAAATCTCAAGTATTTAAATGTGCTTCTGAAACTCCAGTTCAGTGCCTCTCACAATCCACATTTCAATACAGTTTAGAACATTAATGCTGTGACCTTCTACATGCATCTTTAATTACTTGGAAAAATTAATGAAATGTTCAGTTGAAATTGATTGTTCTTCAGATTTTTCAGTAAGATAATTTTCAAGCAGGATGAGCAGTGACTAATTTTAGCTCAGTTCTGTGGACTGGTTGGCTGAAAATCAAAGTTCAATATTCTGTTCATGCATTCTTCAGAATTTGAAAACACCTCATTTAGTAGCATTGAAACAGCCCTCAAATGCATTTGTAAAGATTAGCAGGATGGGGTGCTTTTAGTATGATTGCTAGTTTGTAGATTATACAGGGAAATTATTTTTTTATTTTTAGAGGAAGTTGTCTATCACTCAGAAACATCAGCCTCTTTCTGAAATTATATTGCTGTTTAATATTATGAAAATGGTATTGCAAGAAAGCAACGAATTTTGTGGTATACTACATGGATGTTGTCAAACTTCATGTTCATTTTTTACTCTTTTTTTTCCCCAAGTGTTGTTGGATTTTTTTTATACTAAAATCCCTCTCATTTTAAAATAAACACTGTATTAGAGAATTGTCTTTTATGTGTTTTAAACACATTTCAAATATCCCCCGTTTCATTTCCCCATAAATGCTTTTTTTTTTGAGCTGTCTCAGTGAGATGGAATGTATGAAGAACTTTGTATCATACTGATATGGCATAGACATGTAGTCTGTAATGGGAATAATCTGTGATAAAATATTGTTGCAACATTAACAGTGAGTTGCAGGAAGAAATATAACAATATCTTCCTTCTGTTTGTCCTCTTTGTTCTTGAAGGCTGTAGTACTAAAGGTTTATCTGACTAAAGCACCGGCCACAATGCTCTCATTTTGATAATTATGTAGCTTATAATTAAATTTTATTTTTACTTTTGTTAGCATATTGAAAGGAAATGTCTCTTCGATATTTGAATGTGTTCCAGAAGTTTTATTGCATTTGTTCCCAGGAGGCTGAGATATAGACCTATATTGGTTGGTTTACTGTAGTAGTAATTTTTGTTCCAGGAGAGGGCACTAGAAGCCTTTGTTCCAAGCACATCTTTGACTTACAATACCAAGTGTATGGTTGCATGATTTTGACAAGACCATAGTGTAGTGGTTGTCTTTGCAGTTAATGTGTGAAAAAATTAGGGCACCCTTGCTGTACTGAGTGATATCATGATCACTGTCTGGTTCACTTGCTGGTACAGCTATGAATCTGCAGTTAGAAATTCTGCAGCCGCATTGCAGAATCCCTGAGGGCGAACGTGCAGATGAAGACAGACAACGTGGTAAATTAGAAGAAAACAGTTGCACAGGACAGCAAATGTCATCCAACTGAATGGAAACATTTGTTATGTAGTTTTTAATTAGTAGGGGCCTAATATGGTGTAAATTAGCCATTGGGTTATTTGATCAGTTTCAATAGCAGAGGAAAGTGCCGCAGCCTTTACAAAAAGAAAAAAAAGAAAAAATATTTTACTTCCGCAAACATTGTGTAAAATACTTCCAGTCAAAGTAATTAAGGCATGATCATATTCCACCTATTAGGGACGTAAGTGTGGTCTTATTCTGCTTTGCTAAGTCCTTGAAGAAACATTAAAGCTGCTGCTTTTGTAACATACTATCATCTTAGCCCTAAGGCCCATATACCTTTTGCATTACCTGTTTATTGGGGACTTGAGCAGAGTGGAATAAGATCACACTTAAGATTGGGCTCTTAGTTTTTGTGTGTTTGTAATTCTTGCCACATATGCAATGGGCTCAAACGTACGAAGAACTTAGGACTTCTCACAACCTGCTCTGATGTCAGAGTGGAGTTGGGAGTCTCATCATTTTGTATGATTGGACCTAGCTTTTGAACCTCTAACTTATTTTCTCTGTCTCTTTTGTATAGGTGAATATATCTTGTAAGTAGTGTTGGGCTAAACAGAAGCCATAAACATGTTACTTAGGCCCCTGGCAGGTGTTACACTTAAGATGCAGTTAACCCAGTTATTGGCGATGCATGGGAGGTGCATATGCACCCCCTGAGACAAGCACTGCTGATGCTCCTGGCAGTGCCTGCAGGCGGTTGCAACTTGCTGCTGCCTGCGGGCAGTTGCCATGCCCCGCCAGCCTCCAGGGGCACATGTCGTTCATGAACCCAGTTAATCGTGTCTTAAAGTGTAATTGGCCAGACGTTCATACAATTAATGATACAAGAAAAAGTGAAACCAGCCACAATGTTTTACAACTAGCTTGGTGGCTTCCCAGAGCCAGCTGACAAACTGTTGATTGCCAGGCACCTTTGCCAGTGTAAAGGGAGCTTGGGATCATGATCCTGGTCTCCCACTGTACTGCCAGGTAGGATGCTCTTGGGATTTGATGTCTGATCCCAAAATTGCCTGTCCTGCCATGTACATGTGACACGGCAGGAGGTGCAATTGTTGGGATCACACATCAGATCCCATCCTGCCTTTAACTGAATGACTGTCAGCTGCCTTAGTTTTGCCATTTGACATTTATAACTAACTTGCACAGCCTGGATTTAATGATCCCTGGGATACACTGAATGATCCATCCATCCATTCTTGCAAGCTTTCTGTAAAGGTACAGGTTTGATAGTGCTATGTAGGATTTGGTCAAAGTAAAAAAAGATTACATTTGTAGTAAAGGAGGGTTTAAAAAAATATTAACCAAATAGGAATTTTGACAATATTAATATAGTATAGTACATATTCAGTGTTTGGGAAAAAAAAAAAAAAAAAGCCCCCAAAACGGGCACATATGCAGCATCCACCTTTGAAAAAAGATCTAAACAGTTAATACTGTTGAGACATTTCATTTTACTAGTATAGGCCAGTTCCAGTTAAAGGATTGGAGTTATAGTTACAATATAATACATTGACTGATTTTCAAAATACTTCAGTGTAATTATGCCTGAAATTGATGGATCGTGCCAGTGTTTTGCATTTTTGTATGTTAAGACTTGTTTATTTATTTATGTGTAATGTGTGTAGCAGAATTGGCTCTTTTCATTTTGAGGTTTATGTTAGCTCAGCCTGAGATATCGAAGTCAATGTTAAATAAGCAAAATGATCAGAAAATAAAAGAATAGTAGCACAGATATTTACAGGCCTTCTTTGTTTGAACAAAATTGGAATACAGAATGCTTAAATATTTTAAAGTAATCTGTGGTAAGTCTGTGAATATCAGTGCCTCAGAGAGAATGATCCTTTTGAAACTTCAATTTATCTTTTAAAAGAATGATACATTAAAGTTATTCTGCAGCTGCAGAATGTGCTTTCAAGGTTTTGACAGTAGAAACTATTTGCAACTTTTGATAGTGTTTTTGTTGTTTTGGTTTTTTGGAGCTGGGGAAAGAATGTCTGCCTGCCACTGATGACATGAAGAGTTCTGTATAAAACCTTGTCTATTGTGTTTGTAAGAAACTTTTGGTTTCTTTTAACACAATCTTTAATTCAGCCAATGGCTTTCTAAGATGCATTATATATGTATACATTACTTATCTTTCCTTTGATACTACAGTAATTTTTAGAAAATAAAAGGCAAGTAATTTACGATGCGTGAAAAAATACATTTTTGTTGAACACAATTAGGCTGTTAATCTCACATCTACAAATATGTTTTGAGAGAAATATCTTTTCATACACTAAAAAAATGCTTAAAAGTTGTACATTATTATATGTCAGCATAACATCATCGTCCGTTTCCTGAATTGTAATAAAAATTAGCCTCTATGCTCTAGGACACAAAATGACCAGGTAGCTGAACCATTGTTTTGTGCTGGTAAGGCAGTCTTTTTTTTCTTTGGGTTTGATTATCTGCCCAGTTTCTACAAATGGATGGGAGTAGGACTGGGTGGAGCCCTAGCCCTGGGGTTGTACTTGTAAAAGGAGTAGTGCATGCTAGTCCTGTGGTATTGTTGCACATGGTGACAGTTTGGGGCCAAGGTGATTGATTTCTCTACACCATTGCTTACTCAGATGTAAGTCAGTATTTATTCACATAGTAACCACAACCCAATTTATATTAACTTGGGGTCAGAGGTATCAGAGAAGCATCAACTGTTTTAAGAGCCATCATGGGAACACTAAAGACCTTGACCTTCCCTTGACATGGGAGGGACATGGAACCTGGGACATAACAGAAGGACTTATCCTTCCCAGGGCTGTAGGCTGAAAGAGGAATCCAGTAGTGCAGGTTTTTTTCCCCTCAAACTCAGATTCCTTGCCTAGGGGATGATCTAGCTCTTACTTAAAATGATCATAAATTATAAAAATGTATGTAAATGTTAAGCATCAGAGTAAATGAAAAGCTAGCTAGGAAGAATATGATTCTGCATCATAAAAGCTTCCAAGGACTAAAACAGAGATCTTTAAACCTTGGATTTGTCTCAGGCATTTAAAATAATTCAAGAGAGAATGTTTCTGTCTTACCCGCTCAGTGGCTTTTGTTGTTGTTCTGCAGATGCCACAGTTGGAGAAAAAGCTTGAAGATGAACTCAAGCACGATGCCAGAGTCATTGCCTGCCGCTTTCCTTTCCCGCATTGGATGCCAGATTATACTACTGGAGAGGGAATAGACACTGTGTGGGCCTATGATTCAAAAAATTTTAAAGGAAGTGACAACAGATACTCAGAGATTCTGCCAATTATGCATTCCTCATAATAAAGTCAGGTTAAAAAGTGTTGTGGATGCTAACTTTGGTTCTTACACCAAAACACTCATCTTTGTCTTCAATGGCTGCGAGAGCGGCGGAATAATAACAGTAAGTATTAGCATGAATGCCGCACACCCCCAGAGGCTGTGGGGGGCCAGACAAGCTCCCGCAGGTGGCGGCAAACAGCAAGCTCCTGCAGGTGGCCATAGTGGTTTCATCAGTGGGGGCACGAGGTGAGAGCTGACCAGTGATCGGCGACTGCAATTGGGGACTGCCCACAGATGCCGCCGGCAGCATGGGCAGCGCTTTCTGCAGGGGGTGTACCGCCAAGCTTAGGGGGCTAGCCAGCATGCAGCCCCCACACTGAATCATCCTCATGCCCCAGCCAACCTTGTCAGTGTCTGTATGTGCATTGCAGTGCAGTTAACTCCACTGTAGGATAGTACTTGTGTCTGGCAGTACTATCCTATGGCAGGGTTAATTATTTTACTCCATCCTAATAGCACCGCACGTGTAGACACTGACGTTTTGCTGCAGAACTAAGGCAACTCCATAGTAAACGTCTTGTGTAGACACTCCCATTGCTTAACAAGAAGATGCATGAAAACATTTTTCACTAGTTTTTAACGTGAAAAGTTTATACAAGCAAGGTTTATTGCTGTTAAGGATCAATGTATAAACAAAACGCCAGAGGTTTTGTGCAAATTTTTTCTCAGAACAGGTAATGAGATGGAACTTGATTCTCCACTGCCTTGCACCTTGAGCAGTTACTTAGGGTTATACAAAGTGAATGTAAAATTCTGATCTGGGAATGAGTTATATCTGCTTTATACACACTTTTTATAGGTGCAAGTGACTGCTCACTGTGCAGGGTGTGGAGAACCAAGCCCATTATCTTGGCCTTGTATACTTGGTATTACAAATTCAGATGTGACACATTTTGACATGAAGAGAGAAAAGGAAAAATGGTGAAAAAGGTCCTGGGTTACATTTTAGATGCTTAGTAGAGAATGTCCACGTCTCAATGGCCTTGTGAATTAGTATTAACTTATTTAAGTTGCTGCTTCTAGGTAGAACTAAGCTTTCAGGAAAGACATCTGGTACAGGTTTTTGCAGATCGCCATGACTTTCCTTTCACCAAAGTCACTCTTTTGACAAATTAGGCAGAATTTGTCATCATGGTCCATCATGGACTGAAAGGTGTTGCCTAGAGAAAGTCACCCAGTACTTGCTCCTTCCAGATGTGGAGAATTTGGTCTCACTTTGCTGGCTTCATTTCATTCACCAGCTCTATTACCCTCTAAAATAGTTATGACCTTCTGCATGATCCCTAATGATTTGGTGATTCATCCACAGCTAAAAACCTCTCCCTCTACCTCTATTAGCATGACATGCAGATCCATGGAATCAGCTGTTGTTAGTTCTTTTTTCAGTTTTGGTGTGTTCCCTCTTGTCCTTGAAATAGACTATGAAAGGGTAGGCAAGGGTACACCACATGGAGAACATGAAGGTAAAGTCAGTCTCCAAGTTTGGTTGAGGTATGTGCACCCTCACTGAGTTTATGCGTTCGAATAGTCCATCTCAAAGAACTCCAGTTGCAGTGAAATACTTGTTCCCTTTCTTGACTATGCTTCAGGGCATCATGGTCCTTTGTGGAAGATTCATGCATCTGTGTTGTCAGGTGGTCCAGTAAAGTGCAGAGTGCCAGGTTTCTTACAACTCAATCGTAGTCTCCACAATGAGACAAGGATTAGCTCACTGCTGTTACCGTTCTCCTCCTGACTCATGGTGACCCATCCTAGCCACTGTTCCTGTGACCTGTGAAAGTATACATAGGACACCAACCACCAGAAAAAAAACTTCTCATCAACTAGTTAAGCAGGTGCAGGATGATAGTAGGATGTGGCTTCAGGTAGAGGGTGCTTGGTGTTTGCCTGGATGCGGCTAACCATCACCCTCCAAAGATGTTGCAGGCAGGGGCAGTGCCAGCTCTTGCTGTGCTAATTGTGGCAGCACTACCAGCCACTGCTACAGCCTCCCTCCTTCCCTCAGGCTACTGGTTGAAGGCCTCCTGCACTTCATACAGATTTTGTAAAGGGGTGAGTTACTAGGTGAATACTGGGTACAGGAAGCCAAGTCTCTGTCTTAGTAGCTTAAGTAGTTACAGCCATGAATTAATACCTCCATTTGAAGTGGCATCTTGCAGAAGCAGCCTTTGGCGACCTACTTTGAGCAGAGTCAAGGGGCATGGGCATGAGTTGGACAGAACCGCTCTGACTTGCATTTCAACATAAGGAGTCAAAAGGTTTTGGAGCATTCATAGATTCCAGAGGTGCCTTACTTTGCACAGCCCTAGACTGTGAGGGGGACTAGTGAAGCATCAGGCCTTCGTGGAGTCATATGGGTAAAATGAGCACAACTCTCAGAAGAAGCTGTGCTTTCTATCCCATCAGTAAGAACTGTCACTTATGTGTTGCTTGCATCAAAAGATTGTTCTCCAGGGACTGCAATACACTGAGGCTCTTTATAGACGGTAAACTAATGGCACAGTTGAGATCTGAGGAATTTTATGCCTGTCCCAAAAATCACACATAGAATGTTCAGCAAGGTGAGATGAATGAGCGTTTATTGATATGCAAGCTCAGCTGGCAGTCTTCCCATAATTTCTTGCCCATTAGCAATGAGAAAGTTCGGCTTCATCAGTTGTCTTCTGACTAGCATCCCACATGGTCTTTGTAACATATTTTCCTTTCCTACCCTTTGGAAAATCCCAATATGTTGTTCTCAGCTCTCTCAACATGTGTGTTTTCATGCTCCTCAAAGCCTTTTCTGCTTCGTCAAATATTTCCAGATGGAAAGCGTATGTGAAAAAGTTGAAATGCCCTTCTTGTTGAGGGGGGAGGTCTGTAAATCTGGAGGAACTGATTTTCTTGGTTGCTTTTTTTGCAGGTAATTTTAAACATTTTAAGCATCACTTGCCTGCTGGCAGTGCACAGATGATGCCTGCTGCTGCACGTCTGCCTTTCTCTCTCTCTATCCCTGCGTGAATGTGTTGAAGAGATGAATGAAACTTTCTACAAATTCAAAACTGATCTGTTTAAATTTCACTCTTTGCTAGACTGATTAGTGAGCCTCAAGTTGCTTTGTGAACCTCTTGGGGAGGAAAATCAGTTCTTACCACAACAAGATAATTTGTTGGCAAAGGTCCATAAGCTGTTTCCTGTTGCTGTTACATGAACCAATTCCATATGTGCCAAAAGAGTCACTGAATGTATACCATATCTTTCCCTACTGCTGCATCTTTATGCATGACAGGGATGTTATGCTGTAGGATTCTACTAATGAGAGCCTGTAGGGTCTCATAAAATTTCTTTTTCTTCTTCGTTACATTCATTTGCAGGGGCATATCACTGAATGATTGTTGTCTTCACATATCATGTCTTGCATAATTATTCTTCTGTTAACTTCTTGTACAGTGTCACTCCTGATCAGCAGAGATCTAATTTTCTGCAGGGAAAAGCAGAAAATCTATGCTTAAAAAACACAAAAAAATCCTTTTTTTCCTTGCGAGCTACTGAAAGTGCACTGGTGTCCCATGGCAAATGGCACCAATTCTGCTCTCTCTTATTTTTGCTGCAGTTTTTGCCTCTCAGCCAATCAGCAGCTCACTCCCTCCACCACTGATTGGTTGAAAGGCAAAAACTGTGGCAGAAAGAGAAAGCAGAAATAGCACTGCTTATTGCAGGACACTGCCATGGTTTTCATAGTTCCTAGGGTCGGAAGGGACCTGAACAGATCATCAAGTCTGACCCCGTGCCCTGGGCAGGAATGAGTGCTGGGATAATAATACCCCAGCCAGATACCTATCCAACCTCCTTTGGGAGCCTGTCAGCCCTATCCATAAAGTAATGCCTCCTCATATCAAGCCTGAACCTACTCTCAATCAGTTATGGTAGTTCTTGAGAAAATGTGGATTACATGTTTCTCCACAGATTTCCGTAACAAATGGAAAACTAAGATCCCTGCTGATCAGGTGAATGCCAACTCTTCCTCCAGCTGGGGTCTCTGGGTTGACCATCCTTTTTTATACAATTTAGTCTTGCATCCAGGGACACTCACTGTCACTAGGAATATTAATACCCAATGCCCCCTTTCTTATACTTTGAACAGATTTTTCCAACTTGCAGCATTATGTGTAGTGTGTGTATAGTTTATCACTATCAGCTCTAGAGGCCCATGGCTGCCTCCCATATCTTCTTCCATTCCCTTCTGTTGTGTGCTTTCATCCCCCAGTCATCCATATTTAATTTCTGTAGGTCCGACACTACATCATCCAGACATCTTCATCTTGGTCTTTCAGGCAGCATTCTCCCCTCTGGTACTTTCTGTGGTGTCTGGATCACTTCCATTCTTTCGATGTTGCCCAGCCACTGTAGTCATTGTGCTCTAATTTCCTTTGTCGGGGTTGGGTCTTTATGCAATTGATATAACATATTATTGGTTCTTACATGCCATTTTTGTGTTACGGGATCATACTGTGCGCCAAAGGTTTTCTGTAAAATCTTCCTTTCAAAATGAGTTACGGCAGCATTATAGAATCCTATCCATTTTGTGGAACAAACTTGGAGGAAAATCCTCTTCAAATGATACCAGTTTTTAGGTGAAGCAATGGTTTGCTTGATGCCTGCCATCACTTAGGCTTTGCTTACTGATCTAAGGGTTCATCATTGAGTTAGGTGGGATCTTCCCTCTTCTGCACCGAGAATATGTTTTCACAAAAGGTGAGATGGTCAGGTTCCTGCCCATCTCGCAAATATGGGGAGCTGGCACTTTGTTTTCCTTGGCCTCTCCTCTTCAAGCTGTTTACCATAGGTTCCCTTGCTAAAAGTAACACTCCCATTGCCATGTAGCTTGTCAGACTGTAGAGCAATTGCAAGCAGTCCTACTGTTTCAGTGCATCAGTCTCAGTAGGAGGTGATGAAAAACACATTCCCACACACATAAAAGGAGCAAACCATACAGAACAAG